AAAATACTGTTTTTGTTGATTTCTTTGACAATTGTGATATTGGGAACTTTAGGTGCGATTTGTGATACATTGTGATTTTGATACTCATGCGGTGGTATAAGGTTTTGGGGTTGAAACGCATGCGGTGAGATAAGGTGGGCTTGATACGCGTGTTGCTAGTAGGGGAACTACTTAAAGTCACACGATGTGATAAGGTGGGCTAAAACGTGGGAAGCTATTTCGGAAAAATAATTTTCAGAACTAAATGCAAGGCTCTAGCGGTGATATAAGAAAAGATTGTGAATTATTTTATGATTTGAGACTACGAGGCGGTACCTTGGTAGTGACTCTTGTTGATACTTCTCTATTACTTCACTTGTGTTTGGTTGTTTCATTTCCTTGGCATAACATCCCTTATTTTCTTTCGTGATGCATTACTTGTCTTAGTGTAGTTAATCTTGGTATGTTCCTTACTTGTTTCATTTCCATTGTTATTATTATTACACTGTTAATTACTCGTTCTGTTTCTTATTTATTCCAGTAGGGCCCTGACCTGACCTCGTTACTACTCTACCGAGTTTAGCTTGGCACTTATTGGGTACCGTTGTGGTGTACTCATGCTATACTTCTGCATATTTTTTTGTGCAGATCCAGGTAGGGCTGTGCATTTGGATCGAATATCCGAAAATCCGAACCGATCCACTCTATTCGGATTTTCGGATTTTGGATATTTGAATTGGATATGGATTATGTTTTTTTAAAATTTTAGATATCCGGATTGGATTCAAATTGATATAGTTTTAATTCAATCCGACCCGAAATCCGAAATTATATGGACCTATATAAATACTAGACTAAAATTTTAGGGTTAGGTCTTCTTTCTTATTTCATTTTTCAGATTTAGCCACTTAGGTTATATCGATACACTCTCTCTCACGCTTCTCTGTTGCGCCTCTCTTCTCCAAGACTCCAACTCTCTGTTCGATTTCTATTCTCAGTCACAGTCCTAATCGACGGTAAGACTGACGTCTCTTTTTAACTATTAATTATTATTGGTTCCATGGTTGCTTTCTCCCTCTTTCTTAGAGCTTAAAGGTGGTGTTTTTCACCTTTTATTTCACCGAAGAAATCAAAATAGAGGTGTTTCAAGAAGAAAGCGTTGAACTGTTGAAGGAGAAGAATGGTGTTTTCATCATATTCACTGAATATATTTTGTTAAATCAGAATGCGTTTTCATCATATTCACTGAATATTTTCCCCCTTGGGAATCAATCATATGAGAATAACTGAAGACATGCTTTGGCTTAAGCTGTCACTGCACAGAAAGTTTCTAATGCTTTTAAATTTTAATTCCTCCTTGTGTTGTATCCTGTTTCAGGTCTTTTAACTTTTAAGTATAAAGTAGTTTATCACTCTATTCCAATCAAGCATTCTTTAGATGCAGTAGCTTATTGGAATCTTAGATTAGAAATAGTTTTTAAGTCCACTGGAGACATTAACTACGAAGTGCAGTAGCTTATTAGATTAGCAATAAGCCTTAATAATACGTACAATTCGATCCGAAAATCTAAAATATTTACCCGATCTAAACTTTAAAATCCGATGCTAATTTGGATTGGATTCAGATTGTATTTTGTAGAATCCAAAATTCGAAATTTCAATCCGAAATATGCTAAATTCGATCCGGTCCGACCGATGCACAACCCTGGATCAAGGTACTTCCTACCAATCCAGGCATCTGTGAGTTGAGTTCGTACGTGGAGACTTCAAGATACACCTGCCAGCATCCGCAGGCCTCGGAGTAACCTTTTATCTACTTTTATATTTTCCTTCTTTTACTAGTTATAGTTGTATAGGGATGGCTATGATACCGTTGTAGAGCTTGTGACTCGATATCACCAGGTTTTGGGAAAATTGTATATGTTTAGTTATGGAGTTTTTCTTTATTATAAACCGTTGAGTGTTTGGGATTTTTTGTTATTTCAGTTATATTCCGCATGTTTGTTAGGCTTACCTAATCTTAGAGAGTGGGTACCATCACGATATCCTACAAAGAAAAATTGGGGTCGTGACATCTTTCAACTCTTGTGGTCTGTCTATTTGTGCATTGTGTGTTGTAGTTGCATTCCTTCCAAAAGGCTTCCTTTTGGATTTGAAATCTGTAGGATATTCAATGAGTTTGTATCATCCATCTCTAGTTTGACCCTTCATTCTACAATAATCACAATATAGTTGACTCTTTGGCTTGTAACCTCCCATGAATCCTTGTCCATTGTTATGGACCATGGTATTGGCTCCATGTCTTGTGTTGTAGGCCATTGCTTGAGCTTCTATCTCCAAGGCACTAGGTCCAACATCTCTGGCTCTTTGACTCTCATCCTGCACCACCATTGCATAAGCTTCATTGATGGTCAGAGTTGGAATCATCAACATTATTTGCCCTTTTGCCTGTGCGAAGGACTCATTCAAACCACTCGAAAAATGCACCAAGCGCTGCTGCTGAATGTGTTCTAGGAAAACTTTTGATTCGGGACATAGACATGAAGGAGTGGGAATCATGGCATCATATTCATCCCACAGATCCTTCAGCTTTGAGTAGTAAGTAGAAACATGTGCTAAACCTTGCTTCAGTGCTATAATCTCCTGATGCGGATTGTAAACTCAAGAAATATTTCTTTTGTCAAATCGCTCCTTCAAATCCTTCCACACATTATGCGCAGATGAGGCATACACTACATTGCTGTAGAGTTCCTTTGTCACAACATTCATTATTCATGATAATACAAACACATTGCATCTCTCCCACTGATCATGTATCTCCTTCTTACAAGTTCCTTCGATAAACCCAATCTTATTCTTCGTAAAAAGTCCAATTCTCATAGACCGAGACCATAGATTGTAATTTTCAGTTCCTATCAGTTTGAATTCGATCAGATGCTCCTCTGGCGTATCAGAAGGTCACAAATACAATGAGTGTGTGTGAGTTAACACTGTTTCACCACCCGTTCCACTTGTTCCATCCTCAATCGCCATCTCAGCTCTGAATCGACAAAACCTTAGCTTTTGGAATCAATGAACAATCTGTAATTAGATTTCGAATCAAAAATCAAAAGAGTAAATGCAAAGTCAACCGACGAGAATCAACAACATGCGCTGCCAAAATCGATGGCTCTGATACCATATTAACTTTCTACTAGCTATGAATTAAGGAAATAAAGAGACTAAGAAGAAAGCTTGCAGAGAAAGAAATTGTCCTTCATTGCTGAATCAGAGAGGAGATTAGAAAATGATGTCTCTTACCAAATAAAGAATAACTACTACCGTTAATATAAATAACTAACTTAAGTCAGTTACTAACTTTTAATATATACACTTTGGTCCTTCAACCTTTCATATTAACTAATTCATCACCCTGGCTCAATACTAACAATGGTTAGATTATGCAACAAAAACCGTTGCAATAGCTTATCTAAATGGTTGCAATAGGCCCACTAGACGTTGTATAGTCTCACTAAACTATTTTTTTTTGGGTCAAACATTAAAATTTTTATTTAACCAAGAATATATTTACAACCGCTTGTTCTTTTTGGACTATAAGAACAAGGCCTTTATTCCATATTCTACCTATTACATAGACAGAATTAAACTCTATATCTATCCGCTATGGCTAGCAAGGAAAGCTATCTAAACTATTTAGTATCTTTCTCCATCTACTTTATTATTGTCCTCTAATGTGTAGCTGGAGTACAATCTCCCTAATGATTTGCTTGGTGTGTTTTTGCTTCTGGTAGAATCTTCGAGCATTGCGTTTCCCCCAAATGTGATAAATTGTTGCAGTAAAGTGCCAACTCAACACTTCTGCTCGCACTCTATTGTTGTTCACTTTCCTGGTTATCCACTTAACTTCCTCCGTCCATGTTCCCAATTGCTTGTGTTCTCCCATCCATTTCAGTAGCACATTCCAGATAGTAGCAGAGAATGCACAGTCAAAGAAGAGGTGATCTAACATTTCCTCTGTACCAGTGTTACATAGTACACATTCCTTAGGGACATGTATCTTCCATCTTTCTAATCGATCAGTTATAGCTAATCTTTATTGTACTGCAAGCCAAATAATAAATTGATTTCGTGGTAGCATTGGCTTCATGATCAGACATTTCCATTATACTTTCTGGTGCTTGGGGGGGGGGAGGGGG